AGCATTAGAGTTTTTTATTTTAGGGTTTTCTCTTCAATATGACCGACAACGTTAATTGTGATCTATATCATTACATAGTAGCGGTTGAGACTGGATATCGCATGTACGCCAGTACCGACTCCAGGGTTAGTCACATGTCGTATTCGTAGCTTCTGTACAAAAGCCTGAGCATTCCACAGATTTTCATCACACTGTATGGGACAAAGGCAGATGAAATGACTCGCGAGCTAAGTTCTCCTCGCTTTGACAAGAACTCAGCGGTTTTCACTTGGGGCTCAACCGCAAGATTCTTGCTGAAGACTCCATGGTAATTTTGGCAACCAATTTAGCAGCACGGATAAGAATCCGCTGCAACTAGGAGTTTGGGCGATATCCGTTACGTGCGAGTATGGGTAGACAACTCGGGTCGGGGACATCGTGAATCGTGGTACTGCAATCGAATATTTATCAAGGATTTGCACACTGGCTCTATTTATCGCTTCCCCATCCATGATTGGATCGGACAATGTATGGCGGAAGGCGCGGTGAGTGTACTCAGTGGAACATCATCTCTCATTGAAGCAGTATTTTCAGAGCGAAAGACTTTCTGCAGCTGAGACGAATCCTAGCATGCTAAATGATTGCATGAGCATTCACATGCTTGCCGAAACGATTTCTTATATAGCAATGTACACAGGTATTTTCTTATTTATACACTAGCTGGCATACGCGGCTCCGCTCGGCACTGTCAAAACAGTATGATAAAGTCTCATTCCTGTCCCTGTACAACCTTTCCCTGTGCCAACTTCTACATGCCAATTTCCTGTTCCCGTTTTGTTTTCGTAATCAGTGTGGCCACCTACTTCCTTCTGCCACCTCCCAGGCCCGTAGCTCGAACTTTGCAAAAAATCGACAAAATGGTCAAATTAATCGATAATTCTGGAGGCTAATATTGTAATATTCGTCAACATGCTCGATTAGCCCCCCCCCCTGTGCCAATTCCCAACCCCGTAAGTCGAACTTTGCAAGAAATCGATAGAATCGATATCAATGATAAGGAAAAGTACCCTACGACACGCTCCCCGCCTTGAAGCATACCTTCGACACACAGAGCTACGTACTCTGGTACCTTCACTCTGATGCCATGAACACAGCCTTCATCTGAAGGAAAGAATTGAAGTCATACGGGACGAAACACCGAATTTTATGACATAACTATGTAAGGATAAATGTGAATGAGGCATGTATAGTGAGTGACATCTAAAAGAATTTCAGAAAAACCGAACTGTTGCGTTTTTGCAGCCTTTTTCTGCTAAAAAAGAAAATGTTTATTCAAAAATACCCTCAAAAATTAGGACCTTCTCAGGTAACCTTTCTCTATACTACGACTGAGTACAAGAATTTACGAAAGCCATTGGAGTTCAATAAAAAGAAACTGTGCTCGAATCTTGCATAGAGTCGCCACATAAATGCTAGTCTATCCCGATATGAAGTAATTTTCGAGACCCGCGACATTGTTGGCTCTGGTACCCTTTTCTTCGCTGTTTTGAATTAGGTACTAGCAAACTACATATCATATAAAAGCTCTTGATCTCT